TGACAAATAAACAAAATCTAAAAAAAGAAATACTAACAAACTGAATTTAGCAGCATACTAAAAGATTATACACTATGACCAAGTAGGACTTATTCCCAGAATGCAGGGATGGTTCAACATACAAAAATCATCCATGTAATATGCCACATAAATACAATAAAGGAAAAAAAAAACCTGTATGATCTTCCAGATACAGAAAAAACATTTCATAAAATTCAACAAACTTTCATGATAAAAACACCCCACAAACTAGGAACAGAAGGAAATTACCGCAATATAATATAAGTCATATATGAAACACTCAAAGCAAACATCACATTCAACAGTGGGAAAACTGAAAACTCATCTGCTAAGATCTAGAACAAGGCAAGGATGTCCTTTTCACTTCTATTCAACAAAGTACTACAAGTTCTCATCAGAACAAGTAGGCAAAAGAAAGCACTCAGGGGCATCTGGGTGGCTTAGTCAGTTAAGCATCTGACTCTTGATTTTGGCTCAGGTCATGATCTCAGGGTTGTGAGATGGAGCCCCATGTCAATGCTGAGCACGGAGTCTGCTTAAGATTCTCTCTCTCCCTCTACCCCTCCCCACTCACATTCTCTCTCTCCAAAAAAAAAAAAAAAAGAAAGAAAGAGCATTCAAACTGGCAAAGAAGTAGAATTATCTGCTTGCAGAGGATATAATTTTTTTTTTTAAAGACTTCATTGAGGGGCACCTGGGTGGCTCAGTGGGTTGGGCCTCTGCCTTTGGCTCAGGTCATAATCTCAGAGTCCTGGGATCGAGCCCCTCATCAGGCTCTCTGCTCAGTGGGGAGCCTGCTTCCCCCTCTCTCTCTGCCTACCTCTACCTGTGATCTCTCTCTATGTCAAATAAATAAATAAAATCTTAAAAGGAAAAAAAAAAGACTTCATTGATTTGACAGAGAGAGAGCACACAAGCAGGGAGAGGAGCAGGGTAAGAGAAAGAGGGAGAAGCAGACTCCCCTTGAGCAGGGAGACTGATGCAGGACTTGATCCCAGGACCCTGGGATGATGACCTGAGCAGAAGGCAGACGCTTAACTGATGAAGCCACCCAGGTGCCCCTGCAGATGATATAATCTTATATAGAAAACTCCACACACATAAAAAGTCAGAATTAATGAATTCAACAAAGTAGCAGGATACAAAGTCAACACACAAATTTCAATTGCATTTCTGTACATGAACAATCTGTAAAGGAAATTATGAAAACAATCCTATTTATAACAGTATTAAAAAAAATCCTTATGAATTAACTTAGCAGGGAGATGAAAAACTTGTACAATTAAAACTGGAAAACATTGCTAAAAGAAATTAATACCTAAATGGAAAACTCATTCCATGTTCTGGATTCAAAGACTTCATGTTGTTAAAATGTGAACAATATTACCCGAAGCAACCTACAAATTCAATGCAATCCCTATCAGAATCCCAATGTTTTTTGCAGAAAGAGAAAAAGCCACCCTAAAACTCCTATGGATTTCAAGGGACCCCAAATAGCTAAAACAATCTGAAAATGAAGAACAAAACTGGAGAATTCACATTTCCTGATTTCAAAACTAACTACAAAGCTACAGTAAGCACTGTGCAGTAATACAGTGTGATACTGGCATAAAGAGACATACAGATGAATGAAACAGAAGAGAAAGCACAGAAATAAACCCTTGCATATATGATCAAATGATTTTTGCCAAAAGGCTAAGACCATTCAATGGGAAAAGGATAGTCTTTTTTAATAAATGGTGCTGGGAAAACTGGATATCCACATACAAAAGAATGAATTTGGGACCTTACCTAACACCATATACAAAATTAGCTCAAAACTGAATAAGGGACTTAAAGCAATAAAACTCTTGGAAGAAAACAGGACAGAAGCTTCACAACAGTGGATTGGCAATTTCCTGGATATGACATAAATGGCACAGGTAACTTAAAAAAAAAAAAAGGAACAATCTGGACTTCAAATAATTTTAATTTTTCTAGTTAAAAAATTTAAAAACAGGGGCACCTGGGTGGCTCAGTGGAAAATTAAGCCTCTTCCCTCAGCTCAGGTCATGATCTCAGGGTCCTGGGATCGAGCCCCACACTGGGCTCTCTGCTCAGCAGGGAGCCTGCTTCCCCCCTCTCTGCCTACTTGTGATCTCTCTGTTAAATAAATGAAATCTTTTCTAAAAAAATTTAAAAACAACTTCAAAAAAATTAAAATTAAAAACAGAACTACCAAAAAATAAAAATAAAAAAAAAACCCAAAAACCACATAACTACCATACAATCCAGCAATTCCAATTCTGGGTATATAGCCAAAGGAATAAAAGCAAGGTCTTGAAGACATACTTGTACACCCATGTTCATAGCAGCATTATTCACAGCAGCTAAAATTTGGAAGCAACCCAAGTGTCCATCGACAGATGAATGAATAACCAAAATATGGTGGATACATACAATGGAATATTACTAAGCCTTTAAAGGACTCAAAATTCTACAATATGACACAACATGGATGAACCTTGAGAACATTATGCTAAATGAAATAAACCACAGAAAAACAAATACTGTATTATTCCACTTATATCAAGTATTTAAGAGAAGCCAAATCACATAGACAGCAAGTGTAATTGTGGTTGCCAGGGGCTGGGTGGGGAGGGGGAATGCAGCGTTATTTAATGGGTGTAAAGTTTCAGTTTTACAAAATGAAATGAATTAAGGAGATGAATGGTAATGATGGTTGCACAATAATATGAATATACTTAACACCACTGAACTGTACATTTAAAAATGATTAAGATGGTAACTTTCATGCTACATCTATTTTACCACAATTAAAAAATAAAAGAAAAGATGGAAATCCTGTCATTTGTCACAACATGAATGAACCTGGAAGGCCTTTTGCTGTGAAATAAGCCAGACACAGAAAGACAAAATATGATCTCACTTAAGTGAGCAATCTAAGATTTAAACTCATACAGACAGAGTAAAATAGTAGCCTGAGGGGAGGGGGAAAATAAGAACCTTGTAGTCAAATGGTACAAAGTCAGTTATACAAGGTAAGTCCTAGAAACCTACTGCACAACATATTGACTGTATACTCAAAAAATTGCTAAAAGGGTAATCTTAAGTTTTCTACCATACCCCCCAAAAGTTACAGCAATCTATACCAATGCTACAAGCCACTTAAAAAATTAATTTGTGCATATCTAAAATTCATTCATGAGGGGCGCCTGGGTGGCTCAGTGGGTTAAAGCCTCTGCCTTCGGCTCAGGTCATGATCCCAGGGTCCTGGGATCGAGCCCCGCATCGGGCTCTCTGCTCAGCGGGGAGCCTGCTTCCTCCTCTCTCTCTGCCTGCCTCTCTGACTACTTGTGATCTCTGTCAAATAAATAAAATCTTTTAAAAAAAATAAAATAAAATAAAAAACAAAAAAATAAAATTCATTCATGAACATCTATGCCTTATGACTGCTTATGACAGCAGTTGGTCCAAAAACAAATCCGGAAATTTTTGGTGAGGTGTCCTACGATCACAGTGATGAACTATGTGCTCTCAAGCCTCCTTTGAATCATAAGCTAACTCATTTTCTACAATTCTCTAAACTCAGGAGAATGAAATTAAGTTTATCAATCTGGATTTCTGAGAATGTAAGGAATATATTTTTTTAAGATTTTATTTACTTATTTGGGAGAAAGAGAGAGTGAGCAAGAGAGAGCATAAGGAAGAGGAAGAAGCAGGCTCCCTGCTGAGCAAGGAGCCTGATCCCAGGACCACAGAATCATGACCTAGAGCCAAAGGCAGACACTTAACTGAGCCACCCAGGCTCCCCTGCAGGGAACTTTTTTTTTTTTTTTTTTTAATTTATTTGACAGAGAGAGAGAGAGATCACAAGAAGGCAGAGAGGCAGGCAGAGAGAGCAGGAGGAAGCAGGCTCCCTGCTGAGCAGAGAGCCCGATTCGGGGCTTGATCCCAGGACCCTGAGATCATGACCTGAGCCGAAGGCAAAGGCTTTAACCCACTGAGCCACCCAGGTGCCCTGGGAACATTTTTTTTTTTTTTTTAAAGATTTTATTTATTTATTTGACAGACAGAGATCACAAGCAGGCAGAGAGGCAGGCAGAGAGAGAGGAGGAATCAGGCTCCCTGCCGAGCAGAGAGCCCGATGCGGGGCTCGATCCCAAGACCCTTGAGATCATGACCTGAGCCGAAGGCAGCGGCTTAACCCACTGAGCCACCCAGGTGCCCCGGAACATTTTTTTTTAATAAAAAAAAAATTTTTTTAAGATTTTTATTTATTTATTTGACAGAAAGAGAGAGAGAGGGAAAGTACACAAGCAGGGGGAGCTGCAGGCAGAGGGAGAGGGAAAAGCAAGCTCCCCACTGAGCAGGGAGCCCCATGCAGGGCTCGATCCCAGGACCCTGGGATCATGACCTCAGCCAAAGACAGAAGCTTAACCGACTAAGCCACCCAGGTGCCCCTGCAGGGAACATTTTTAAATGAACTTTCTATCTAATGCCAAGGGAAAAAAGAATGATTCCATTTTATAAGACTTTGAAAAATATTTGAAATACAACTTTACCCTACAATCGATATAAAAATAAAATTCTAAAATCCATTTAAAAAGTAAATAATGTCAAAGTACAATGATACCAGCTCTAACCTTGTAACTCTATCTTTCCTCTACCAGAACCCAACACTTTAGGACTCCGAGAAGCCACATTTTTTCCCTAACAGTCTCCACACAGAAAATACTCAACAATGTTGCCAACTGACCATATCACAATAGTTGCACAACACAAAACAAATCCTGCTATCACCTATCACCACTGACTTCTGAGCAGTATCCAAGCTATGAAGTTGAAGTCATGATTACTATGTAACTAAGAAAAAGGAAATTCCAAACCTGGGGTACATATCCAATTCTGGTATATTCACTGTGCAGTCAAAAGAAAAAACTAGTTTTGTACTACAAGCTGACAGCAATAATTCTTACCCTCCAATTCCGAATTCGTTTGAGCCTGTTAGGGGTTTTCTCCAGAATCTGTAGAAATTCATGTGTCAGTTCTACAAATGAAATAGAACATTTAAGAAAAACTCAGACAAGCAGAAGTAAAAAAACAAGAATAACCTCAACTAACTAGTTTCATCTGAATGAAGTCACTTTGGGCCAGATATGTGACAGATCAAGAGCAAGTGCTTTCCAAGGTCCCTTACTCTAAAACTTACCATCTAAAAGTTCCAAGGTCACAGTGCCGTCAACATACTCCCACCAGTGCTTCCCATCAGTTGAGACTGGGATCTCCCAGTTGGACCACTTGCAAGCCAGGTGAATGCAGACACAGGCCACCACAGGAGGTGTGTACTGCAGGCTAAATGTGGTCAAATGCAGGCTGACATCAGAGGGAAGGAAACAAGAGAGTGTCATGAGCTCTCAATTTTTTTTTTATGAGCTCTCAATTTTGAACCCAGTTAAAACTCTCCATTATTTAAAAAGAAAAAAAAAAAAATTAAAAAACACTGGAGAGTAAGAAGGGTAAGAAATATCCAGTGCTCTGATCCAGCACCCAACATGATTTTTCATTAACCCACCTGCTCAGGTAACGTTTCTGAATTTTTTGGCTGTACATCATCAATCCCACATACTGACAAAAGACCAGGGCCAAAACCAAAGAGACAGGGTACTCAGTTTTTTTTTAAATAAGGATCTATTATCCTGAGAAGAAACTTAGAACTTGAGGAAAATTTTAAGATTTTTAGTTATGTGTAATTCCTAAATCAAATACTTAAAACCCCCTTAAAATTATCTCGTCTCTTGCCAACCACAGGTCTGGTCAATTGAAAATAAGAGGGGTAATTAGAGATGGACATTTAGGAGGGCACATGATATGATGACCACTGGGTGTTATATGCAACTGATGAAGCACTAAATTCTACTGCTGAAATTAATATTATAGCATATGTTAACTAAATTAAAAAATAAAAATATAATAAACTAAAATAATGAATAGACTATCACTCTCTCAACTGTGAATATGCTTAACTGATGATTTACTTCAAAAATTTCTCCTATCAGGCTATAAAAATAATGACAGTCAACAGAAGTATCTTTGATTTCCACGATCAATTGGAGACGAGACTTATCAAGTAATTTGGTAATACAAATTATGTATTAATTTTTGTCTTAAAAAGGAAAGAATAAAGAAAAAACAAAAAAAAAAGAAGAAAGAAAAAGCTCTTTACACATATTCATGCACATTTATCTGGCAATGAGGAAGAAAAAGGAAGTTTTTTAAACACCTTAATTATTGGGAAACCTGGGTGGCTCAGTTGGTTAAGCATCTGACTTTGGCTCAGGTCATGATCTTAAGAGTCCTAGGATAGAACCAGTGTCCAGCTCCCCACTCAACAGGGAGGCTCTCTGTCTCTCTCCCTCACCCTCCACACCTCCCCCTGCTTGTGCGCGCTCAGTCACACACGCGTGCACATTCTCTCTAATAAATAAAATCTTTAAAATAAATAAATAAATAAATAAATACTATAAGTATTGCAGAATCCTCCAAATTAGATTCTCAGTTACGATCAAACCCAAGTTTACCTAACTAACAAGAACTAACAAGACTAACAAGACTGACTAACTAACAAGAACTAACTAACAAGGACTACGCTCTTGGATTTTTTTAATGTTTTTGTTTTAGATTTTATTTTTAAGTACTCTCCACACCCAACGTGGGGCTCAAACTCGTGACCCTGAGATCAAGAGTCACATGCTCTCCCAACTGAGCAGCCAGGCGCCCCTGCTCTTGGATATTTTAAAGTAAAGGAAGACATGCAGAATCAGGTAGGCTTTCAAACAATAAGTACCACATAATTGCATCACCTTAGCAAATTAAAAAGCACCATGGAAAGGTAAGGTAAAATATGGAAACTGTACAGAAAAATAAATATTTACCAGAGAATTGTCTGTAATACACTGTAGCAAAGATCTATCCTGGGTCTTTGGGTTCTAGTTTACTAAGTGCTAGACCTGATATCTTTCCATATATTCCTCAAAAAGTGACAAGCCCTATCCCAAAAATAGAAGGGAAAAATATTAAAATATAAACCTGTTGGTTGCCATGAAGTAAGAAGTCTGTGCTAAGTCCTTGCTTGCTAAAAAAAAAAAAAAAAAAAAAGGAGGGGGGGAACAGGGAAAAAGTTATTAGTTCCATTCAGTCTCAATTATTTAGTTAGCATTTAATATTTCCAAGTAGAGAACATAATAACGAATAAAGCAGATGTGGTCCCTAACCACCAGATGTCTAACATTCTACAAAAAAGGTCAAATCAGCAACTTTTAATTATAATAACTATACTGTTTCCAGACCTAGGAACTCAAGCTTTACACTGCACACCAAGTATCTGGAGTACTTGTTTCAACTCCAATTCCTGGACATCCTTCCTAGAGTGTGACTCAATATGTTTAGAGAAGAAAACATGCATTTTTAACAGGTAACCTAGAAATTCTGATCCAAGAGTTTACTGAACTAGACGATAAACTAGTTTGGAGGCAAGATCAGAATCCAGAAGACCTCTGTGTATTTGGGAAAAGTGATCTGCGCTCAAAAATTTTTTTTTAATTGAGTAGCCTGTGATTCAGACCCCAAATCATCAAATAACATAAATTACTTGATATACCATAATAAAGGGGGGGGGAGAACACATGCCCCCTTCCCCAAAAAACTGCTCTGGGTAATAAAGTAAATTTTAGTTTTCCTTAAAACTTAGTTTTTTCAATATCAGCATGTATCTACCTTTGTTTATCCTTGCTTAATGTAAACCCTCTAATGTTTTCTAAATACAAAGAACTTAGGAAAACTGGAAATTTACAGATGAAGCACATACTAGCAAAATATAAAATAAGGCCAATTATCAGTTTCATCTACAAAAGTATAAGGCATTCCAATGCAGAAGTGTCTATATGTTGATACTACTATTCAAACTAAGAAGAACAAGGTTTCATGCAATTACAGCTACTAAGGTTTAAATCAGAATAAAAAAGTCTTTCCAAGGCTTTGTCAATCATTGAAATAAGTCAAATAAATTCTAGATCCTCTGGGTGGTTTGTAAAAGGCTGTCTAGGGCCATCAATCCTAGAATCACATTAAGATCACCACTCCCAACGTATCCTTAAACTGCTATTAGATACTTGTCATTTGACTTTATGAAATCTGTTCCAGGTTCTGACAAACACCCTCAAGAGGCTAATTCTCTTTAAGAACCCAGGAGAAAAACCCCAAATTAGACACACTCATTTTGATTTAAGCAAGGTAACCCTTTCAATTTAACTTCTAGCCAAAGCAGCTGAGTTATACATTTGTCCACCATAAATAAATCATAGCCATTAAATGGTAAAACAATTGAAGACAGCCATTTCAAGCTGGGATTCCTTACCTCGAACCAGCTGAGTGCACTTTACCACATGTGTATGTGGGTGATCAATTGTTAGTTCAAAGCCTAAAAAAAAAGTACTATGGTTAAAAAGCTAAAGATACTGGAGACATTTTATACTTCTTTTATCTGAGTCATCATTAAAAGCCTCCGTCACTTTCCTTTCCCAGAATTACTGTTCAGAGTCTAAGAGGGTCACACAACACATATAGCACACTCTTTTCTAAGACACATTATCTTCAAAGACAACCATATTTTGAACTAAATAATAAAGCTAATGCAGTCTCAAAACCCCTGAGGAACCAATAATCTCTAAACAGAAAATTATTCTCAATGGACAAATGATTCATGCAAGTAAGATCCTACTGGCTTCCACATTAAAATATTAATACACCAGAAGATCATTGTCCCCTAAAACATAGTTACTTTGAAGATAATTTAAAGTAAAAAGCGAGTTAATAGAAATTAACTTCAGAGATAAGCTTTGAGTGCTCACTTTGGCAGCACATATGCTTTAAAAAAGAGAGAGAGAGAGATAAGCCTTAAAGAACTGTGTGTACTGACATGCAATAACATACAGGTGTACCAGTAACTTTTCAACACAACTCATGAACTCCTCCCTTACCCAGAGAAGAGAAAAATAGCACCCCCACACAAAAAAAAAAAAAAAAAAAAAAACTTGAAAAAAAATCCTTATTTTCCAAATTTGCTAAAAACTTTTAAAGGTAGTATCTCTGATAAAAAATAGTAACAGATAATCATCAAGGTTGCCCATCAACCACTAGAGCTGAAATTCCTCCACCCCTACTCTGCTGTTCTAAACACTGATTAGAGGTGTGCCTAGGTGTTCAGTCCACGAAGCATCCAGCTCTTGGTTTCAGCTCAGGTCATGACCTCATGGGTTGTGAGATCAAGCCCCATGTCGCCCCACATGGAGCCCCAAGGTAGGGAGTATGTTTGAAGATTCTCTCCCTCTGCCCTTCCCTCCATGCAGCTGCACACACATGTGTGCTTGTTCTCTCTCTCAGATAAATAAATCTAGGGGCACCTGGGTGGCTCAATCGGTTAGGTATCTATCTGCCTTCAGCTCAGGTCATGGATCCTAGAGTCCCACATCAAGCTCCCTGCTCAGCAGGGAGTCTGCTTTTCCTTCTGCTTCTCACCCCGGTCACGCTATCCCTCTCTCTCTCTCTTCCTCAAATAAAATCTTTTAAATAAATAAAAAAATAAATCTAAAAAAAAAAAACTATATGACCTCTTTAAAAAAAATAAGCTTTTACCAATTTTAAAAATAAACACTGCCCTTTAAATATAATGACAAACAGATCATAAAAATCCATAAAAGGAAAAAAAGTTCATTAGTTTTTGCCATTATTTATCATAAGGTTAAAAACTGACAAGGCTTCCAAAGCAAATTATGAACACAGAATTTTTTTTTTTTTAAAGATTTTATTTATTTATTTGACAGAGAGAGATCACAAGTAGGCAGAGAGGCAGGCAGAGAGAGAGGGAAGCAGGCTCCTTGCAGAGCAGAGAGCCTGACGCGGGGCTCGATCCCAGGACCCCGAGATCACCACCTGAGCTGAAGGCAGAGGCTTTAACCCACTGAGCCACCCAGGCGCCCCTGAACACAGAATTTTAAAAAACCCTGCTAGCTGCTATTCCAAAGGACGGCTATGCCTGACTTCTGTCTTTGGTATAGGTCAGGGTTAAACCACATTCCACAACCTCTATAATTTGCAAAAACCTTCAGTAGAGACTTTCTTCCTGTTTCCTATTCTGTAAATTTTAAATTTTTACATTACTTATATTTACTATTTTAAAGAAAAATAAATTTACCTAAAGTCTGCAGAATTATGCTTTCTAGTATCACCAGATCTTGAACTTGTTGCAGGTAAGCCTGTAGGTGAGAAGACAAATAAATTATTTCCCAAAAAGGCACAATAAATAAAGTGTAAACAATTCTAACAACTCCTTCCAGGAAAACCAAAGCAACAAAAGGCAGGCATGAAGTGAGGAGGTAGCCTAGGAACTGAAATACAATCCTTATCTCTATATTTAGCACACCTTTTCCTCTTTGAAGAAGGAAAAAAAGTGATATATTGAAAAATAACACTTCATTCATAATTAGCTACAGAAAAGGCACCAGAGAGTTGGTTCATTTCAAGACTAACATTTTAGGTTTTTTTAAAGTCATGTGATGCAGACACAAAATAATTAAAGATACATACATCTTTTTTCAACATCATCAAAATACACTGTAGACCCTTCCTAAGGTACTGTAGGCAATTTCAAACATCTGACTCCTGACAAAACCTCCCAGCTAATGCTAGATTTCTAAGAATCAGAAGAGTTCAAAGGAAAAGGGAATAAACAACAAAAAAAATTTCTCTCAGATTTGTACCAGTAAATACTGCAGCCATTGTCAACATATGGCTACTAAGCACCTAAATGTAGCTAGTCTAAATTGAGATGTCCAATAGAATATATGCCAAACTGGGATGCCTGTGTGGTTCAGTCAGTTAAGCACCTGCCTTTGGCTCAGGTCTTGATTCCAGAGTCCTGGGATCAAGCCCCGCATCTGACTCCCCACTCAGTGTGAAGTCTGCTTCTCCCTCTCCCTCTGTCCCTCCTCCACTCATGTGCTCTCCAATAATTAAATAAAATTTAAAAAAAAAAAAAAAAAATATATATATATATACACACACACACCCCAAGTTTTGAAGACTTAATTTAAAAATATTGTAAATGACCTCATTAATGTTTTAATACTGATTTTATGCTGAAATGGGATTAAATAAAATATATTAATATATCATAATTAATTTCACCTTTCATTTGTTTTTTTAAAGATTTTATTTATTTGAGAAAGACAGAGAGCACGAGAGAGTGAGCATGAGTGGGGGTGGAGGGGCAAAGAGAGAGGGAGAAGCAGGCTCCCCACTGAGTGGGGAGTCTGATGCGGAGCTTGATACCCGGACTCTGGAATCACGACCTGAGCTGAAGGCAGACACTTAACAGACTAAGCCACCCAGGTGCCCCAATTTCACCTTCTTTTATATGAAGATTTTATTTCTAATGAAGATTTTAAATGAAGTTCAATGAAAAGTTAAAAATTTTTAGTTATACATGACTCTACATGACTCCCTCTGTATTTCTATTGGACAGCAATGGTCTAAAACTCTAGGTCAGAGAATGAGACTTGGGGCAGGAGTTAGATCTATAGTGTAGTGAACTTTCCACCTAGATTTATGATCTTGAATCAAGTCCAATAAGGACTTAAATTATGCTAGTACTGCTTTCCATATAGTAAAGAAAATATCCTCCTCTAAGATACCCCATCTCACAAGGAATAGAAACTCAGGTGAGAAATTACATAAATATACCTTAGAGGGAAAAAAAGTAAATTATTTTTTTGTTTTACTCTGTTAAAACAAAATTTTGTTTCATTTGGTCAGTCCTATGGACCAAGGGCATTTACTAGTCTAAAACCAAAATAAAAACCCAGGGCAGTAACTCTCAACAAGAGCTATTGCTGTACCCAAGAGAAAACGAAGGGCAATCAAAACCCTGCTATGGGAAACAATTCACATAATTAGGGGCTATTATCAAAATAAAGGGGCAACTGGATGGCTCAGCTGGTTAAGTGTCTGACTTGTGATTTCAGGTCAGCTTATGATCTCAGGGTTGTGGGAATCCACACTCTGCACGGAGTCTGCTTGAGATTCTCTCCCGCCCCTCCCTGCACTCTTTTCTCAAATAAATAAATCTATAAAAAACAAGCAACCAAATAAACCCCCCCCCAAAGAACCACTTTCTCCAATATAATGAGAACAGGTAAATTTATCTATTTGATAAAAGATGACTCATGCATCCATCGTAAGAGACTTAAATAATCTAGTAACAGAAATCCACAGTTTAAACACAAATGTCAGACCTCAAAATTTCTCACAACTCATCACTCCCCAACAACAGACTTAAAAGCCAGGACAGAGTTTCCCTTCTTTAAGAAAGTCAAGGAAGGATGGAAGGAAAAAAAGCTGTGTGTACATGCACAGGATAGAGGTTGACAGAACATATACTGAAATTATAATCAGCAGCATCTTGCCAGGAGGAGGGGAGATGAGCTTTAACTTTTACTACAAATGATTCTCAAATATTTGGGTTGTCTTTAACAAGCATATGTAACTTCTGCAATTTCTTTAAAAGTTAAAAAAAAAATTAAAAAATGACAGGACTCATTTTTCTGAAGAGTCCATAACAAAAATTTATTGGTAAGAATATTATTCATGGGACGCTTGGGTGGCTCAGTCGGTTAAGGGTCTGACTTTGGCTCATGTCATGATCTCAGGATCCTGGGATAGAGCCCCCACATCTAGCTTCCCATTGAGTAGGGGGTCTGCTTGTCCCTCTGCCCCACCCAGCTCATGGGCTCTTTCAAATAATTACAATCTTTAAAAAAAAAAAAAGGAGGGGCACTTGGGTGGCTCAGTGGGTTAAAGCCTCTGCCTTCGGCTCATGGGGTCTTTTCAAATAATTAAAGTATTAAAAAAAAAAAAAAAAAAAAGAAGAGGGGTGCCTGGGTGGCTCAGTGGGTTAAAGCCTCTGCCTTCGGCTCAGATCATGATCCCAGGGTCCTGGGATCGAGCCCCACATCGGGCTCTCTGCTCCGCGGGGAGCCTGCTTTCCTCCTCTCTCTCTCTGCCTGCCTGCCTACTTGTGACCTCTGTCTGTCAAAGAAATTTTAAAAATCTTTAAAAAAAAAAAAAAAAAGAGAGAGAGACAGAAAAGGGAGACTAAAATGGGAAAATATTTACATTATAATAAGTGGAAAAGACATAAAAATACATATGTGTGTAGCTATTCATAGAAAAGAACTGAGAAATAATAATGATCACTTACATATCTATGGTCCAAATTATACCTAGGTGATACATTTTCTTCTTTGTTTTTCTGTATTTTCCAATTTCACTATATGAATACAACTAACTTTTGCTATAGTTTCTGATGTTTTTTGTAAAGGAAAAATAAAAACTAAAAATTCAACAGGCCCCACTCAGACTTAAGTAAATCAAAGTTACAAAACTAAGCTACCATCAAAATAAATAAAGAAAAACAGATATGTGTAATGAATCCCCTACCTCACTCCTAGTATCAGGAAGTGATTCCTGCGGATGGAGACAAGCATGTGCTACCTTGATGACGTGTTCCAATTTTTTTGGTTGCTCCTCTACTTTAGCTGCTAGAAATAAGGCCGCTGGAGCCACAGACTGGATGGAAAGAAAATAAATTACATTCATTATTTATTCCTAGATCAAGGTAGATCTAAAAAAGACCTAAGTCTCAAACCAAATTCCCTGCTTGCCCTAACTTCATCACTTCTCAGTAATGCCTTTTCTCCTTAAGATGCCATCCCCTCTCATATCTGTTAATCTATATCCATCCACTCCCAAACATCAACCGTTCAACAAACTCTCGTTGAAAGCAATCTATGTGAGAAACGACTAGACGTAAATAGTTGGTTTTCTATTTAAAATGAAGTTCTTTAAGTTTATATCATAACCCTCTATATACTTTTTTTTCAAGGGGCAAATTGAAAGTAGATTAGTGATTGCCAGGGGCTAGAATAGGAAAATGGGAGTGACCATGAATGCATAAGAAGTTTCTTTCTGGGGCAATGTAAATTTTGTGGAATTAGACCATGGTGATGGTTGCATAACTTGGTGAATATATTAACAACCAGTGACTTGGGATACCTGGATGGCTCAGTTGGTTAAGTGTCCAATTCTTGGTTTTGGCTCAGGTCATGATCTCAGGGTCATGGGATCAAGCCCTATGTCCACCTCCATTCTCAGCAAGGAGTTGACTTGATTTTCTTTCCCCCCCCGCCTCTCCCTCCCCCTCTGCTTCTCCCCCTGCTCATGCGCAGTCTCTCTAAAAGAAACAAAATCTTTTAGAACAACAAAAACTCAGCGTACTGCAGACTTTAAAAGGATATATTTTATTGTATGTGAATCATCTCAAGTATACTTATATATGGAGGGAACACAAATCTTATAAAAGGGAATTTTAAAATAGTGTTATATTCAAGATGTTATATAAAGGCACACAGGGAAAAAAAAATCTCAAGCCAATACACAAGTAAACAACAAATTCAGTCACAAAACAATGTTAACAGATTAGAGCAATATGACATAAATGTAGCCTGGTGGGGATCTGAGAAATCTCAGAAGAAGTTCTACTGAATCTTAAGAATATTTCAATGAATCAAAGATGGCAATGGCAAGAACCAGGAGTCAAAGAAATATGATAAATAATTTTATATAATTTAAGTATCTATTTCACTTTACGGAGTAGAACTGATAGGCATTCTAATACTTCTTTATATCCTTGCTGCTATCTGCTATTTCGCTGGAAGAGATTTTTATCCACAAATCCAATTCACAGCAATAATTCTCTTCCTTCATGTTTGTTGCAGTTTTAAGCAGCAAACTCCATATATACTGCTAGACCTCAGGATAAACAAAGCAGGACCAGAGGAAGATAGGCATGAATGAACAAGATGTGAGTAATCAGAGCATACTAAATTGAGGGGTGCCTGGGTGGCTCAGTCATCTGCTTTCGACTCAGATCATGATCCCAGGGTCCTGGGATCAAGCCCCACATCGGGCTCCCTGCTCGGCAGAGAGCGCTTCTCTCTCTCCCACTTCCCCTGCCTGTGTTCCCTCTCTCACTGTGTCTCTGTTAAATAAATAAATCAAATCTTAAAAAACACACACTCTCAAATAAATATTTAATAAAGGAAGGAAGGTCAGACGGACAGACATATCCAGTCCTAGGGAGGACTAAAAAGAGGAAAGAATGAAACTCATTAAAAGTTAATTTTAAAAAAGAAAAAAGAAATTAGTAATCCAGGCATTAAGAAATAAAGTTTAGAGTAGGCATTAGCAGTAGAAAAACGGGGGGAACCGCAGGCATGATTTTAGAAAATTAACGGGGCTTCACTAAATTTTTGTGTATGTATTTGTGTGCCAAGAAAAAAAATTCTAAAATGTCAACAGGATTTTCTCTGAGCAGTTAGCTACAGGAATATCATCATTTCCTCTTTTATTCTCTGTTTAAAAAAAAAAAAAAAAAGATTTTATTTATTTATTTGCCAGAGAGAGAGCAAGCACAAGCAGGGGGAGCAGCAGGAAGAGGGAGAGTGAGAAGCAGGCACCCACTAGCAGGGAGCCTAACTCAGGGCTCTGTCCCAGGACCCTGGGATCATGGGCTGAGCCAAAGGCACACACTTAACCACCTGAGGCCACCCCCAGGTGCCCCTCTCTCTCTTCTTTCAATTTTATGATGACTATATAAAGAAAAAACAGCTAACACTCTAAAAATTAACAGGACTTTTTAACTGATAGGAAAAAGCAGAAAGGAAAAGAACTACTTAAAGACAACACTAAGATTTTTAGCCTACAACTTTGTCTTCAAGGAACTAACAATATATTCAAAAGGCACAAATTAAAATATGGTGTACAAACAATGGCTAAGAAGGCAAGGTAACAACTCATTAAGTGGAAGACTGCAAGAGGTAAATTTCAGTCTAATTTTTGCACAACCATGTAAATACTCATTGCTCCTCATGGAATCACTTACCAAGCCAATTTACTCAAGCACGTTCCTATCAAAGGCAATTTCTAAGAGGAATTCTTATACCAGGTTAGAATCTAAGATCTTCTCCATTTTAAAAGAATAAAAATGCCACCTAGTATTTATTCGTTATGTACAGGCACTTTGTAAATTAATTCATTTAAATATTGGGGCGCCTAGGTGGCTCAGTGGGTTAAAGCCTCTGCCTTCAGCTCAGGTCATGGTCCCGGGGTCCTGGGATTGAGCCCCGCATCGGGCAGGGAGCTTGCTTCCCCCTCTCTTTCTCTGCCTGCCTCTCTGCCTACTTGTGATCTCTGTCAAGTAAATAAATAAAATCTTATATATACATACATACATATATATATATGCATGTGTATATATATATAAGAACTATGGGGGTTTCTGGGTGGCTCAGTTGGTTAAGTGTCCAACTGTTGATTTCAGCTCAGGTCATGATCTCAGGATCATGGGATCAAGCCCCAAGTTGGGACTCCTGGGCTTTGCACTCAATGAAGAGTCTACATGAGATTCTTTCTCCCTCTCCTTCTGCCCCTCCCCCACTAGCACTCTCTCTAATAAACAAATAAATCTTATTAAGTACTCTAGGAGACAGGCACTATTACTGACTCCGAAGAGATGAGAAAACTGAGGCCTATGGTAACTTACCCAAAGCCATGTAACTAGTAAGCAGTTCACAAAATCCAAACCTAGACAGACATGTCTGACTCCAGAGCCCATTCTCTTAACCACTAAGCTTGACCCCTTAAGGATAAGCTAACCAGAATAAAATAGACCCAATTAAATCTGTTAGATATTAAAATACAGCACCCAATTTCATAATATATGAAATATTACATAAACACACCAAGTTGCTCACCATTAATTTTACACTCCCTCTTTTGAAAACATTTAAGACAGTACATTTAGAAATTCAATTCATGAGGTTAAATTTCTTCTCAAAAAAAAAATACAATGCCAAAAATTAAATGAAAATTAATCATTTAATCATGTCCACTAAAGAAATAAAATTTATTTCCACTGAAAGACAAGTTCTCGGGGCGCCTGGGTGGCTCAGTGGGTTAAGCCGCTGCCTTCGGCTCGGGTCATGATCTCAGAGTCCTGGGATCGAGCCCCGCATCGGGCTCTCTGCTCAGCAGGAAGCCTGCTTCCTCCTCTCTCTCTGCCTGCCTCTCTGCCTACTTGTGATCTCTCTGTCAAATAAATAAATAAAATCTTTAAAAAAAAAAAAAAAAAAAAAAAAGACAAGTTCTCTATCCTCCAGGGTGCTGGAAATATACTTTATCTTCATCTGAGTGGTGGCTACATATACATACAATAATAATAATAATAATGCAAAAAGTAATCAAGTTGCACATTTCAGATTTTTGTGCTTTACCGTTATACCTCAACAAAAATTTTTTAAAAAGTTTTTAAAGGCAAGAGTTCTAGGCTTCAAAACTCTATGAACAAAGTAATAGAACAAAATGAGGAAAGTATTCACAACACATGACATACAGCCCTAACATATGGGAGCTCGTATAAAAAAGAAAATCAGAATAAAAGAGGAGCAAAGAGAATCAAGTCAATTTTTAAGTTGATTTTTCAATTTCATAAGAACAATGACCTAAATAGGTTTAAGAAGCTTGACTTCACTAATTGAAAAAAAAGGTAAATTAAGAAAATAATTTAGGATGCCCTCTATCTTGTTCACCGCTGTATCCCAAGTGCACAACAAGTAGTTAAAACTTACTATTTCCTGATGTAATAAATACGTTATTTGTGAGAATGCAGAGACAAGGACCCTCTCTCACACTGCTGGAAACAATGTATACTGATAAAATCTTTCAGTAGGGCAAACTGACACAACAAAACAATGTATACAGATACAATCTTTCAGTAAGGCAAATTGACAGGACAAAAATTTTTTAAATGCAGCCCTGTGGACACAGTAATTTTACCTATAAGAATTTATATTAAAACAATCATGTAAGTCATATAATATATGTACCAATATTATATAACATTACCTATAATTACTAAACTACAAACAACCCAAATATCCGCCAGTATGGAGGTGAAATAAATGGTAACAATACAAAGAAATACTATGTGGCCATTTAAAATACAGCTAACACACATAAAAAAATAGAATAAAATACAGCTAACACTTGAACAACACTGGTTTGAACTGTGTCAGTCTACTTATATGCAGATTTTTTCTCTATAAATACAATACAGTACTATAACTGTATTTTGTCTTCCTCATGATTTTCTTAATATTTTCTTTTCTCCAGCCTATTTTTTGGTAAGGATACAGTATATGATACATATAACATACAAATACGTGTTAACTGTGTTATTGGTAAGGCTTCTGCTAGTTAACTTTCTGGGGAGTCAAGAATTACATGTGGATTTTCAACTGTGTAGAGGTAGGTACCCCAACCCCTACCTCGTTCAAAGGTCAACTGTAATGAAAAACCACTATGAAAAGATATCCAATATATACTGTTAACTAATAAAGGCAATTCACATAATAGTATTATAATCAGAAATTATTTTTTAATAGAAATACATAAATACTAGGTATTTACACACAAAAATGCCCAAGACACTATATGACAAAACATTTATCAATGGTTAACCCTGGAGGGTGGAATTACAGAGGATCTTTCACTTTCTACATTATACATTTCCATATTAATTTTTACGATAAGCATTTATTACCTTTATCATGAGAAAAAAATAACATGAAAAATGCACAGGAGCTTGATAGGACAAATATCAATGCTACAACAATGTATTAAGTCCTCTCAAATTTGAACTTGGATTTATCACGTCTTAAAACTAAGATATTAAAGGGTGGTATTTTTTTTTTAATTTTATTTTTTATAAACATATAATATATTTTTATCCCCAGGGGTACAGGTCTGTGAATCGCCAGGTTTACACACTTCACAGCACTCACCATAGCACATACCCTCCCCAATGTCCATAATCCCTCCCCCCCCAACCCCCCTCCCCCCATTAACCCCCCCTTTGTTTTGTGAGATTAAGAGTCACTTATGGTTTGTCTCCCTCCCAATCCCATCTTGTTTCATTTACTCTTCTCCTACCCCCTTAACCCCCCATGTTGCATCTCCTCTCCCTCATATCAGGGAGATCATATGATAGTTGTCTTTCTCCGATTGACTTATTTCGCTAAGCATGATAAGGGGTGGTATTTTTGATCGGTTCCAGAATGTGCCTAAAATCAATTCTCTAGAGAGGATCGACAATCCCAAATTTTAAAAGTCACTGTATTTTGGAAAAGGTCATGTCATCCACTGGAATCTCTCTATATTTATTGGATAATTACCAGTTCATTCATTCATTCATTCAAGTTTACTGAAGGTGCTTCAGAGGATACACAGAAAAGTGAGTCTCTGTCCTTGCTAAGCTTAATACACAGGAAACAAGGAAAAAAATGACTTAAAAGATATAAGCAGGAAAAGTATATAATATACATGTGCACAAAGTGGACAAACGGATTTGAGATGTATTTCATTCCAAATTTCAAATCTTTACCATTATAAAAGGGAAGACACGAAGAACATTCAGAATTGGCAAGACAGCTATGGACTTCCTCCTCAAATTTCATTCTTTATCCACTACCTTCTATTATAGAGCTATCAGACAGATATCCTCATTAAATGCTTTTCTCTGTCTTAATAAACTTGCTTCTTGCAATCAGTGGTAGGGCATGGCTGGAGGTAAGAGGTCTACTGGTAGGAGAAAGCCAAGCTGACAGGATAAAAATTGGGAATACTTAATCCACAGATCCAAAGGGTTTCCAGTACAGTTACTCCCAATACTGAGTATGCCAACTTATATTACAAGAGCACTATATAACTTCACAGATTCTCTTTCCGTGGCATTAAAAAAAAAAGAGCTCAGGGGCGCCTGGGTGGCTCAGTGGGTTAAGCCGCTGCCTTCAGCTCAGGTCATGATCTCAGGGTCCTGGGATCCAGCCCCACATCGGACTCTGCTCAGCAAGGAGCCTGCTTCCCCCCTCTCTCTGCCTGCCTCTCTGCCTACTTGTGATCTTTCTCTGTCAAATAAATAAATAACTTTTTTTTTTTTAAAAGAGCTCAAAGCCTATCATCCTAAGGGTAAGTCTTAAACACTTTTCTTCAAAACATAACCTTTCTTTTAAAAAAAAGGGGGAAGACATATTTGACTCACAAACCCATCTTAAGTATTCATCAAGTTTAGCCCTATTACCTTGTGATTTAATTAAACAAATATAGTCTTACCTGCAACCGGGATATCACTATGTACTCACTTCAAAGTCATTTATAATAATGTTAAATAGGACCATTTCAGGTATCAAAACTGAAAATAGCACTATTTACAATTCTGTCCAGGAAAAAAAAAATCCCTTTATTATTATTATTTTCTTCTTCCTGTCTTAAAAGTCGCCCCCCATCATCATATAATGTGTTTTCCCTCTCTAACCAGTCACTGATTGCAATTCTATCAAAGATTTTTAGAAAATCGAAATCACTTAGATTCACTTGTTTTCCTGTGGCTACATTACTATTTACCACTTCAAAAGTTACTCTTAAATTAAGCATCATCTCCCTTTTAATGCTCCTCTCCCAACCCAAAAATGGTGGTGTTCAATTATCTATTTCTTTATTAGAGAATCCATCTATCCTAAAGATGCACTAAACCTACCAAATAACTAACCAGACAGTTTACTGAAAAACTGGAAGACTGGATTCAGGGTGACACACAATGAAAGTGATCAATCCTATTTTCTAAATTTCAAATCCCAGTTCAGCAACATAGATCAACCTCCTCACCCCCCACACACAGGAAGCTGCTGGAATCGATCACAAAATGATTACGCTACACAAAATAGTAATAATACTTACATTTCGATGGAACTGTGTAAAGGACTGAATCATGTAGAATCGATGCATGTATACTATAGCAGTGTTGATAGTCAATTGTGAGCTATAATGTTAAAGTTAAGGCCCCAAAACAGGCAGGCAGAACAACTCCCAAAAATACAGCCTATATATCCTCCCAAAAGGACCACGCAGTTAAGCACAGTACATGGTTCTAAATGAAAATCATACTTAATTTTCCAAATTAAAGAGCAAATCTGTTTCCTTTCACCAAATTATTAACCACCAACTGACGCTTAACATAATGCCTTACCCACAACCGGTATTCAGTATGTAAATCTGCTGAACTGATAACAACCAAGCTTCTTAGCATGTGTGGATCAAGGAATATAAAAAATTTATGTAGACCTAATCCTGTCACTTGCCTCCTGAAAATCCTGCTGTGATGATCCATTAGCTCAGGATATCTCTTCACGTGACTCATAACACCCTCCCTGATCTGGCCCCTAGGTATGTCTCTACTATCTACTCACTTTCTAAGCTCCAAAAATTAACTTTTCAGTCCCCCTTGTGTGTGACAACTAAGCCTTCTCATATGGTGATCCCTGGGAGAAGAAACACTGTGGAATGATTTGATACTCATTCACTGACAAAATTTTAAATGCCTTACTTCTGAAGACCTCAGAGACAATGTGGGTTATTCAGGGAAGAGGTTGTGGTCCGAAGATGTCAACAACCTTAATAACAACACACACATAAAAAAGGGCTAGATGTACTAAAACAGAATTTCAAACAGGAAATTTAACTTAGTACTGACCTAATGCTTGGGAAACAAATCAAATATCCTCAATAAACAGGACACCTCTTTTGAGGTGAGCACAACTTTAAGGTACAACATTACAGCCAGCCACACACTATAATAGGAGCTTCACCCAAAAATAATTTTTCATTTCCAGAGTGGAAAGAACTTTATAACTATATAAGTTTTCTCTGCTACAAAGTGAGCATATTTTCTGACAAAAATACTTGAAGGGGGGGATCACTAAATTATCTGATCTTTGAAATATAAAGAAAACAAGTACACATCAGAACTCTGAGTAAGTTAAAAACTCAACATTCTGTAAACGGTTTTTTAAAACATTATATCCCTGGGTCTATATCCTTACAAACAGAAACTGACATCCTTCCTTCCTCTGAAATTCTGTAAGTTTTACAGTAGCTACCATCTGAACATGAGTGCCAGGCATTTTCTTAGGTACAGAATTTACATGCAACAGTTATCACTCCATTTTACAGACAAGAAAACCAAGAATTTGACAGGTTTCTTAAACAGCTAGTAAGTGGAAGGAACGATTTTGAACCATAGCTGGAGCATTAATTCTAGGCCACCCTCTCTTCTTAAGACCTACAGGTCCCGAATTTCTCAAAACTGTCTTTACACACTAAGTTCAAAAAGCAGCCATCAACAGTGAAACCTCCACCAAACCCCTGAGGAATAGCAGAAAAGTACTATCTCTAAATCACCAAACCAGGAGACCAGAACACAACGAAATGGGACCAGGAACGGCTGGTTAAAACACAAAGCTGCGAAGGATACGAATTCCCAGCAACGCTGGTGGCATTGGTGAGCGAGCGGGAAATTAACTCCGCCTCGCTTCCCTGGCGCAACACTGAACTTCAGCCCGCCCCATCGGAGGCTCTCTCACCTAGACATTCAGCCCCTGCCCACCTTCTCTCTCTTCCGTCCCTGACAGAGCCTGAGGCCTTGAAGCCCTAGCAAGGCGGGTCTGACTCCAAGGCCGGAGGCCTAGGCCGCAAGGATACACGTTAAGACGTTGTCCCATGTCCTGGAGCAGATTGGCCGCCTGCTGGCGATTAGAAAGTTCTTTATCTGGGTCCAGGCCAAAACGACGTGATGGGCTATTTTCCAGTTGTTCTCGAGTAAAATACCACCGTTTGTTATTGTTCTTCCTCTCTCCCTCCATAGTGCTTCAACCAGAAGGCAGCGGCGGAGGCTGCAAGCACTTCCCAGCGTCACCTAAGCGGCGACACACATCCGCTGTGCGGGGGCAACTGCGACGTGACGAACTTCCGCTAAAATGTGGACGGCTAGGTTGTGACAGGCTTCCGCAAAGGAGGGCTAGTTGAAGAGTCTATATCCGGAATGGACCTCGCGACAACCTGTAGCCGAGTTAACAGCCAGTAGGCGACCAGGAAAGACCTTGAGTCTAGGACGCAGGCGCCAGTCATGTGACCCTTGGGAGGCGGGGTAGGGGTAGAAGTTCTCGCTCGAAACCACGTTTGCTCCCGCGAGAGCGGGGTTTAGCTTTCGCGTGGTGGACGAAGCGGCGAGTCGACTGTTGTGGCGGGATAAAGCGCCCGCCCACGCGCCCCTCGGCGGTTTCTTGGAGAACTTCGTTTGTAGCGGAGGTGACGGTAGAAAATGGGGGAGATCGCGAACTTGATAGAGAACAGGTGAGACTGTCAAAAACAGAAAAAAGTGATCAGAGAGTGGCCCTAACGTATATCGTAATATAAAGCAAGTAGAAAGCTCTTAACGTTGTTGGTAGCAGTGTAAACCGCCCATTTGCAAAACTTTTTACAACGTTTACCTAAAGCCTTGAAAAAAGTCCTGTGCTTCGCCACAGTGATTCAACGTGAGGAAATGAAATTTAATTCACAATGTTTAGTGATTACCATGTTCCAGGCACACTCTTGATACACTATTTCATTTAAAAGACACAACCCCAAGAGGTAGTAACGTTTCAACCCCTGTTCTGTAGAGAGCGAACTAAAGCTGCTCCTTTGTGGAAAGCTTCTACCTCCACCTTGCACACCTAAGAACTTGAAAGTTCCTGTCCTCTATCAAGAAATTTCCCAGCGGAACGCCTGATGCCTGTTTGATCCTGGGCAAGATACCTAACCTCTTTGTGCCTTTTATATATAAATGTAAATGATAACACTAGTACCTACATTTTAAGTTGTGGGAAGGACTAAATGAAGCTATAATTAATTAAAATCCTTTGTAATAGTACCTGGCACCTAGGAACATCGAAAACATTCAGTAAATATTATCAGAGTTTTTATTATATTAAAATTGAGATGTATCCATGGCACCTACCTAATACAGTCCTGGCCCTAGTAGTCAATAAATATTTGTCAAATAAATGGTTACAGCACCCTGCAAGGAAGAAACCAGGGCTTGGGGAAATTAAGTAGTTTGCCCTATGCTGCACTGCTTGTAAGTGTTGATTTTTAAATCAGGTCTAATTCCATTGTTCTTTCCATTCTAGCAAACTGTATTCTTGCTTTTCTGAAACAATTTACCTTGATTAAATTGGGATAGTATTAGAATCCTTTGTCTTTCATAATATTTTGAGTTTTTTCCATTTTAGACATGGCTGCTCACACTCAGTTTGATTCTGATTCATTCTCAGACATATTTCCTTCCATTTCAGGCCCTCCTTTGCCCTATACTACCTATAATTAGCATTAGCTACATTTTACTCCAGAAAAATTGAGGTTCAGGAAGATTTAAATGACTTATTTCAGGTTATAACATGTTAAAAAATAATGATTTCAAACATCTAACTAATGTCACAGGTGTGTTCTTTTTAATAGAATAAGCATTTTTTGAAAATTATGTAGTCATTATAATCTCTTAAAGATTGATTTACTTGGGGCGCCTGGGTGGCTTAGTGGGTTAAAGCCTCTGCCTTTGGCTCAGGTCATGATCCCAGGGTCCTGGGATCAAGCCCCACATCAGGCTCTCTGCTCAGCCTGGAGTCTGCTTCCCTTCCTCTCTCTGCCTGTCTCTCTGCCTACTTGTGATCTCTGTCAAATAAATAAATAAAATATTAAAAAAAAAAGATTGATTTACTTATTTGAGAGAAAAAATGAGCTGGGGGGAGGGGCAGAGGGAGATGGAGAAGCAGACTCCCTGCTGAGCAGGGAGCCAGATGCAGGCTCAAACCAGGGGCTCTGGGATGATGACCTGTGCCAAAGGCAGACATCTAACTGAGTTACCCAAGTCCCAATTATATTGTCTTTTAAACAACCAAAATTATTTCTCCCAGAACCCTCTTGCCTATTTCTCTGACCTTTGTTTGGTTCTCCATTTTTATTTTATACATTTTATTTTTCTGGGAGAGAGCATTCGAGCAGGGGGACAGGGAGAGGGAGAAGCAGACTCCCTGCTGAGCAGAGAGCCTGACCCAGGGGCTCAATCCTAGGAACCTGGCATCATGACCTGAGCCAAAGACAGACGCCTAACCATCTGAGCCACCCAGGTACCCCTGGTCCTTCATTTAAACTCTTGGATTGACAGCTCCATTTTGAATTTGCTGTCCTGGATGAGTATACCAATTTTCCAAGAACAAGTTCTGGTATCTGTTAAGCTCTAGGCAATGCGGGTGGTAATCAGTGGCTATCCTGCCATACAGAAGACCAGGACCTGTGTAACTCAGAGAAAGGAAATATTGTTTGAGAGGATAAATATTTGAAAGTAGGAGGCAGTATAACAATTGCTAAACAAGAGTTTTGAATCAGGCCTGGATTCAAATCCCAGCTATTCTTTTTTTTTTTTTTTTTTAAACCCTTGACTATTTCTATGTGTACAGTTTCATAGTATCAGCTATATTCAAATTGTTATGTAACAGATCTCCACAACTTTTTCATTTTGCAAACCTGAAACTTTATTTCTATATGCTTCATTTCCCCCTGGTCCCAGCCCTGACAACCTTTGTGTTTCTGTGAGTTTGACTGCTTTAGATCTCTTACATAAATAGAATCATACAGTGTTTGTCTCTGTGACTGGCTTATTTCACTTAATATAATATCCTTAAAATTCCCAGGTATTCTTTTAACTACCTTGTGATTTTTTTAATAGATTTTATTTAATCATTAGAGAGGGAGGGGGGGAGTGGCATAGCAGAGACACTTTCTCTACTGAGCAGGAAGCCAGACATGGGTCTTGATTTTAGGACCCCAAGATCACAGCCCGAGCTAAAGGCAGACATTTAACTGACTGAGCCACCCAGGGTCCCTTAGCTGTGTGATCTTAAATGTCATCTCTGGATCTTGACAGGACACCATCAGGCACAATAGGTGTTCAGTACATGTTTATTGTCAAAATAATTTCTTTCCAACATGTATATAGTCTCCAGATTAAAACAGGAGAAGATGGTTTGCCATTTGTAACAATTCCCAAATCCACATTCAGTTGGTGTCCTATGATAGCTTGAAATCGACCATGGTATGGGTATACAGGTAAATTATGAATAACCAGCTATCCAGAAAATAATTGTATGTGTATGTATACATACATAAGTTCAAACATGAACATGAATGTGTAGCACACATTTATAAAAAATACAGTATATGATCTTATAAATTTCCTATAGCCAGTTGATTCTCACAGAATGCTTTCACTCAGTTTTGCCAACTTCTTGATTCAAGAACCAACCTGTGATTACATCTGACAAATGAGAATAGGGTTTTTTTCCAAAGATTTATTTATTTGAGAGAGGGAGAGCAAGCACACATACAAATGAGGGAGGAGAAGTGGGAGAGAGAGAGTGGGAGAGAATCCCAAGCAGATTCCCTACTGAGCATAGAGCCCCATGCAGAGCTCAATCTCAAGACCCTGAGATGATGCCATGACCAGGGCCAAAATTAAGAGTCAGAGCCTAACTGAGCGACCCAGGCACCCCAACAAATGAGAATAGTTTTGACTCTTTTTTGACATTTTAATTTGCATTAATCAGTAAGATAAAAGTGAAATAAGGGGCCAAGCATGGAACCTGCTCAAGATTCTCTCTCCCTCTCCCTCTGCTCCCCCCCCAAAAAATGAGACAATGAGACTTATGTTGGAACTTCACTTATTTGTCAGTGACTTGAGCAACATCTTTGCTGAATTGGATAATCGTTTTTGAAACTGGAAGAACCTTTCAATTCTTTGTGCTCTTGACGATGTAATGGGCATAGACATGATATATTTTTAAACTTAATCTACATTATTTACATACTATCGCTTAAGTCTAGTCAAAATAAATCAAGCTTTTGTTTGCAGCATTTACCATTTCTGTAGTCTAAATTCTCCCATTATGGCCAATTTCAAGCTACCAACATGACATCACAGAGCATGGACGTGGGATGAGATGAACGAACCATCACATAGTATTTCCACCATATAGATACAATAAACAGGGACTTTTGGTTTCCAGTCCAATATGTAAAGAGCTTGGAAGTCATTACTCCTATTTTTATAACAGCAACAACAACAACAAAACCTGCATAAACTGAAAATCAGCAACCCTTGTTAGATTAAGCAGAGCATTAAGGGGACAGGGTAGACCTCCACCACAAAAACTGGAGAAACAGGCAGAATCAGAAAAGGCAGAACAGAGACCCATGGCTTATTGAGACCAAAAACTACTATTGAAACCAGCAACTGGTAGGAATACATGAAAGGCAGTTGACTAATTGGTGGAGACTGAACTTGGCCTAGGTTGAGAGACTTGGAAAAAACAACAACAACAATAACAACAACCAGCAGAGGTGCACCTGGGGGACTCAGTCAGTTAAGCATCTGCCTTCGGGTCATGATCCCAGGGTCCTGGGATTAAGACCCACATTGGGCTCTGTGGGGAGCCTGCTTCTCCCTCTCCCTGCTGCTTCCCCGGCTTGTACTCTGTCTCTCTGTCAAATAAATGAATAAAATCTTTAAAAACAAAACAAAACCTCTTGAGGGCCCCTGCACTTTCTTGAGTTTTACTTCCAGGAGCCCCATAGTTCTTACTGTGAAGATTGGAGAAAAATCCCGTCCTTCTGGAAGGGAAAGGGAAAAAAGAGCTACTTGGGAATAGACCCAGAGCATTCAGTTGTCCTTAACAAAGGACTGTCCTCAATGGAAGCTATTTAACAGAGCCTAGCCAATATAGGAAAAGCAAAATAACCAACTCTAGCATTTGTGAAGGTCGCAGTCCAGAGGGGACACAAGCTCACTAAAAAACTGAGACCTGATAGGATTATAAAGCACTTTTTTCACCCGCCCTCCCTTACCAACACATCGGTAGGTCTCCTATATAATAACAGGTGATTATAACAAAAGAACTACAGACTCAGACCCTATTTAAATAGGAGTCTGAAAGGAAACCCAAAGACAACAGGGGAGACAAAGACATCAGAGGAAATTTTAGCCTGTGATACCTACAGCCATAACAAACAGGAAATAGCACCTGAACTCCCAAACAGATAAATGTAAAACATCCATTCCTTTTACTTAGTGTATCATGTGTATCTTTCTAAAAAAAAAAATTAAAAATTAAAAAAAATATATATATATATGGAATGCTAAAAGGCAAAAAATGCAGTCTCAAGACAAAGCAAGTATCAGAACCAGAGTCATATATGGCGGAAAATTTTGAATTGTCAAAATGGGAATTTAACTGATTAATATGCTAAGGACTCTAATGGAAAAAGTGGACAACATGCAAGAATAGGTGAGTAATGAAGCATGGAAATGAAAACTAAGAGTCAAAAGGAAATGTTGGGAATTAAAAAAAACCTATAACAGGGGTGCCTGGCTGGCTCAGTCACTAGAATGTGTGACTCTTGATCTTGATCTCGTGAGTTCAAGCCCCATGTTGGGCCTAGAGCTTACTTTAAAAAAAAAAAAAAAAACTGTAAAGGAAATGAATGCCTTTGATGGGCTTATCAATACACTGGACACAACCAAGGAAAGAAACAGTGAGTTTGAAGATTTGTCAACAGAAACTTCCCAAACTGAAAAGCAAACAGAAAAAAGAATAAAAATAACAGAATATACACATACAATAGATAAAACTTCATGAGCATAAATAATAGTAAAATAATTAGGAAGAGATGAGTTTTTAGTATTTACTACCTTTAATTTTCATACGATTTATTTAATTGTAAGTTTTGATAATTTTAAACAACCATCTTGTAAAACTCCCGAAAATTTAAGAGGCAGCTCAAAAATCAGTATGAACTGGTTCAGCACACCACTGCTTGAAATAACTTAAAGACTCATCGGAAGTACCATATTCACATTTAAATACTGTTTGTTTCCATTATATGCTGAACACTATGCTAAGGAAATTTGCGTACATTATCATTTAATTCTCATAACTCTGAGGTAGATACCATTGCCATTTTTTAAAATAAACAGAGGCTTAACCTATTCAAACTCAGATACTGAGAGTATGGCAAAAGTAATATGTGAGCCCAAGTCAGTGCTCTTTCTATTCACTGCCTTCTGAAACTTACAGTATAAAAAAGACTGGTGCAAGAAAAAAAGGCTAACTGGCTCTTGATTCCTCCATTTTTCTGAAGTTATTTAGCCCAGTCCCACTCCAGCTCTACTGTGAACCCATAAATCCTGTGTCTCCTTAGGTAAAGGGAGTGTTAGTCATAGTAATTCATAGGGCATTACCATAGTTACCAAACACATTCCAGTGCTCCAGCCTAAACATTCCAGAAGACGACAGGGAGGAGCTGAGATGGCCTTCTTCAACTTATATCTATTGGGATATCAAAATTCCTTTCGGGACAAGAAAAGGGACACAACTGAAGAAACAAGTAAGGGGAATTTGGGTAGAGGCTTAAAAGAGCTGCTTCTTGGCCATTTCTTTTTCTACCTTGAGTTAGAGCTTTATCACCCATAATTAACAATTACACCAGTCACCAGCTAAAATTACAGAGTACAGAGATTATCCATTGAGTTTCCCTCTTCTGTCATTTAATATCCTTATTAAGACATTCAACCTGTTCAACTGAATAAATGTTCATTATTATCCATTTGCTCATTTAGTTAACATTTACTAAAAACAGTTTTGTGCCGGATTTCTGTTGGTGACTGGGGACAGATAGGATAAGGTCTCTGCCATAAAGTGGCCCTAAAGATAAATATGCAAACAAAAAATTTGCAGTATAATGTATGAATAAATTAAATATGGAATACTGTGGGACCACAAAAGAGGAAGTACCTGATGCTATTGGATTTGAATGAGCACAGGAGAATCCTTTAGGAAAGACTTCACACAGAATGCTGCCAGGATGATGGGAATTCGCCAAGTAGACCAAAAGAGAATATTGCACAGACAAAGGAACAGAGAGTTGAGAGAGCCATATTCACTGAACTCTCTAAGTCCTTGGGTACAGATAAAGTGTAAAGACAGGTGCCGGGAAGTAAGCCTTATAAACTTGGCAGGGGCCAGAAAATTGAGGATGCTGTTATCCATGCTAAGCATTTTAATTCTATAGGGAACCACTGAAGAATTTTTAATGGGCAATGGTAAATATCTGATTATATTATCCCACAATGCCTAGCAATACCTAATACATAATGCTCTAATGTTCCAATACATAGAGATTTAATAAGTACTTGTAGGTAAGTAAATTAATAAATGATATTTGAATGACTAAAACAGGAAGTTAGAGGAGGCTTTGGAGATGTGACGATTGGTTAAGGTCTTAAAAGATAAATTGTCTGAGGGACACCTGGGTGGCTCAGTCGGTTAAGCGTCTGCCTTCGGCTCAGGTCATGATCCTGGGGTCCAGGGATGGAGTCCCACATCGGGCTCCCTGCTCAGCGGGGAGCCTGCTTCTCCCTCTGCCTGCTCTGCCTGCCGCTCCCCCTGCTTGTGCTCTCTCTCTGACAAGTAAATAAAGTAAAACAAAAGATAAATTGTTTGAAAGCACAGAAATGGAGGAGAAAGGGTATTTCGGACAGAATGGAGAACATAAGTGAAGGAAATTAAGTGTTGGCAGGTACTAAAGCAAAGTTTTATTGGGGTGAAGGTACGGGGTGACTGGTAAGTATAAAACACAAAGATTGAGAGAGACTAGTATAGAACTCTATTAGGTACAATATATCCTTTTTCTAATGACAACAAAGCAGCTGTTTTACATATGCTGCTTTCAGGTAAGGTTTGTACAAAGGGTCCCACTGGTGGACCCTAGAAATCCCTTAATAGCCCCACACCTGCCCTCCCCCGCTGGCCGCCACCCATCCCAGCATTATGCCATGGGCTGCTATTGTCTCCAAATAAGGAGCTCTTCACCTTCTCTCAGAGAAACAAACCTGGCCTATTCCATAAATCTTCCTTATTCCAAGACTAGGCCTCTCCTGGCTGCTCCAACCCTGCCTGCCCCTACTAGATGGGACTTCTCACTATGAGAGAACTAAGCACCAAGCATGGGTTTTTCCTACCCAGTTTGCTACCTAAACTAGTAAACAAAACCGTATACCAATCCAAAGAGGTCTGAGTTTCATTTCTAATTAATTTTGCCATAGGCTAGGCAGAGAGAAAGACTTCGCTTTACAAAACTATGGGGTAATAGGGACACCTGGGTGTCTTAGTAGGTTGAGCACCCAACTCCTGATTTCAGCTCAGGTCATGATCTCAGGGTCTTGAGATCAAGCCCTATATTGGGCTCTGTGCTCAGCAAAGAGTCTTCTTGAGATTCTCTGCCCCTCCCCCCTTATACTCACTTGCCTGCGCATATTTTTTAAAAATAAAACTATGGGGGTAATAGGAAAGTATCCTGTTATCATCTGCTTGCCCAATTTTTTTCATGCCACTGGCAGACTATCAGAGACTGGAGGTTTGGCCAAACAGTTGGCCTAAGATGTAAGGTTAGAAGGAAGACTAGACATCAAATTTGTCACCCCTACATTGTTCCCCCTCCCCTGTCAATTTTATACTCTCTGCTTACCTCAAGATTTAGACAGAGGAGGTCCACTTGCTAACTTCTATTTAAAAATCCAAAATTTTGTTTGTTCAAAAAACTTAATAATATGAAGCTATCTATTTAGTATAAGTGCTGCCAAAACGAGCACTGTAGCTATCTATTTAGTATGTACTACATGCCAGGCATTGTGCTGAACATTCCACATGCATGATTCCACTTAATTCTCTCAGCATGTCTGTGAGGTAGGTATTACTAGTCCCTTTTTACCAATAAGGAAACTGAGGCTCAAACAGGTTAACTTATTTACACAAGGTCAGTGATAGAGCCAGAATTTGACTCTAAATTTTCAAACACATATTGCTTGCGCTCATTTTTAAACAGTAATGGGAACAAATGACACAGATCTTTTGCTGTGAGTGGGCCACTATACAAGTGTTTGATGATCAGCCTTTCTCGGAAAATCTGTTAACTCCTAAACCCTGAATTTGAATGTCGGGTGGGCTTTATGTAAAGTTGTTCACTATTCCCTAATAGGTGGTCTCAAGATTCCCAGGAGCCCACCATTCACTGGAGCTGAATGAGTGGTAACTTTTTGCTCAGCTAATGAGCAGAGTTGTTGACTTGGGAACTCTTCCATGGAGTCAGTGCTTTGTAACCTTCTCTCATACCCCTGGACAACTTCCCTAGAAAGTTAAAATTCTCTAGCCTTAGAGTGGTATTCTGCAAGCATGGGGGAAAGAACTGGGTGGGTTCCTCCTCTCTTTTAGTCTCTCTCATACACACATATGCACACACATCACAGAGTCATTATTACATGGTCTATTGCATGCAGATATCAAAACAATTGTTTGGTGTTTTCTGTGTTTAAAACTCAAACTTTGCTGGAGTTGTTGGTGAAACCAGGGGTAGAAGTTTATCCACATCTTATTGATCCATAGAAAACTAGGAAGTTTCACTTCTGGGACAAGAATTTAGTGAAACCACCGTTTGACAAGGCAACTAGTACACTGATTCCATTTTTCCAGGAGGCGTCTTGAACTAAATATGGTCCATCTGACCCTGGAGTGTGGATAACCTAATCAACACCCATGAACTTGAGACTACCAATTACAGATCCCTGGTATAAACCTGCTAATAGATAACAAGCTAGCAAGTTCAGATCAATTAATAAGTGCTATATAATGTAAGTTGAATATAATTACAGTTGACCCTTGAACAATATAGGGATTAGGGGCGCTGACACCCCCCAACAAAGTCAAAAATCTGCATCTAACTTTTGACTTCCCGAAACTTAACTACTAATAACCTGTTGACCAGAAGTTTTACCGAGAGCATAGGTTGTCCAATTAATACCTATTTTGTATATTTATTATTGTGTTCTTACAGTAAAGGTAGAGAAAAGAATGTTATTAAGGAAATCTTTAGAGCAGGCACCTAGGTGGCTCAGTCAGGAAATCCTGGCATTGAGCCCTGTGTCAGGCTCCCCACTCAACAGCAATTCTGCTTCTCCCTCTCCCTCTGCCTCTCCCCCACATTTGTGCTCTCTCTCCCTCCCTCTCTGAAATAAAATCTTAAAAAAAAAAATTTGAAAATCCTAAGAGAAATTAAATTTATAATATTTAATTTCCTTTTGTTGTAGTGTATTAAAAACATCCATGTAGGGACACCTCAGTGGCTCTGTCAGTTAAGTGTCTGCCTTTGCTCAGGTCAGGATCCCAGGGTCATGGGATCGAGCCCACATTGGACTCCTTGCTCAGTGGGGAGCCTGCTTCTCCCTTTCTCTCTCTCTGACAAAAAAAAAAAAAAAAAAAAAAAGTTTTGTTTTTTTTTTTAATTTTGTTTTTATTTTAAAAACAAAAAGGCATTCTTTGGGAGATTGCCCAACTGTATCTTCAAATTTTCTGTGTCCCATGCAGTTCAAAACTATGTTGTTCAAGGGTCAGTTGGACTGTAGACTCTTAGACAAATAACTGGTCAAAGATTACATTGTAAATTGGGAAATCAAGAAAAGATACATACCTTATACATTTTAGTTTCACTTAATGCATGTAACTGTAGATTCAGCAATTTTTTTGATATGGTGCCAATTCCACATCTTTGAAAATGTGTCTGTTGAGGAGTGCCATGGCCTTGTTTGCCCCCATAGTGCATCATGTATAATTTCCATTTGGGTCTGTTTAAAGTGGAGTCAAGCATTTGCAAAGCAAACTTATTTTATGATTTTTGTATTTTTAAAAACTTTTAGTTATCTTCCTCATGTCTAATCAAAAACATTTAAAGTTTTCTATATAATTCTTGGGGCACCTGGGTGGCTCAGTTGGCTAAGCATCTGACTCTTGGTTTTGGCTCAGGTGGTGATCTCAGGGTCATGGGATCAAGCCCCACATAAGGCTCTGTGCTCAGCACAGAATCCGCTTGTCCCTTTCCCTCCCCCTCTGCCTCTTTCCTGGACATGTGTACACGCTTTTTCTCTCTCTCTAAAATAAATAAATCTTTAAAAAAGAGTAATCTTTGTAATTCCTTTTCAAAGCAATATGAAATGTAATAATGCTTAAGAGCTTATAATGAAAATGAGTCCTCTACCCCAGTCCTTTCATCTCCACTCTACAGAGACAAATTTTCAACTTTATAGTTGTTTCTTTGGTACTTAACCTTCCTACTTCTAAGGGAAATGCTCATATGATATGTATTGATTTGTCCATTTTTGACCATTATATATTGCCTTCCTGAGCTCAATCTCATCATGACCTGAGCCGAAGGCAGACACTTAACCAACTGAGCCACCCAGGTGCCCTAAAGAATTTAGTTTTCTTATGCCATACCCTGTGCTTCTCCTCTCCCACCCTGATTTTCATCATATCATATCATAGTACCTTGATATAGTC